GGGGCCGGTGCCGCTGCCGCCGCGTCCGGATCCGAACCCCTGCCCGGCCCGGCCGCTCCCCGCCCCCGCGCCGAGGCCCCGACGCCCTCCCGGCAACGAGCCCTGCTCGAGACTCACCGGCGGCGGCCGCACCTTGCAGATCCCGGTCTGCTCGGCTATGGGCCGGATCTTGTGGATGAAGGCAAAGGGGTCGGCGAACTCCTCCCAGCTGGGCTCAAAGACCGGGCACTCGGGCGGCGGCAGGAACTCGCCCAGCGGGCCGGGGCCGCCGAGGGCCGGCGCGGGGCGCGGGCAGGGGGCCTCCATCCTCGCAGCCGCCACGGACGCGGCTGAGCGACGGCTCCTCGCCTTCCTCCTCTGCCTTCCTCCTCCTCCTCCGCCCGGTCCTCCTCAGACTCCGATCCGGCTCCTCAGACTCAGACTCCGACCCGGACCGACGCCGCCGTGCCGCTCCGCGCCAGCCACGCCGTGCGCCTCCGCCGCCACGGCGAGGAAAAGGAGTCCCGCCCCACCCCCACCCGCCCGGCGCCGAGCGCCCGCCCCCGGGTCGGGCGGGGCGGCCTCCGGGGACCGAGCTCGTCCTCGCGATCCAGCCCAGCCCGCATCCACAGACCATTGACTACGTGCCAGAGTCCCTTCCCTCCCTCAGGAAGTTACCAGTCTTGGGGAGAGGCCGGGCCCACGAGTGCACCCTCTGTCCAGTCCAGTCCCGTCCCGCGCCGTGGGAGGCGCCCTGGGGGAAGTGCCCGAACACTGGGTCAGACCCCGGAGGGGCGCGGAATCTTGGGCGCGGAGGAGACTTCTCCAGGTAGAGGCAGCAGCTGGAACGTGAGAGCAGCCTTGTAGGTGAGAAAACAGCAGTTAGGAGGAGGATAATACACTCTGAGCACGCCTCTCCTCGGCCCTGAGCCACGTGCTTTCATGATTAATCTTTAATGTGCGCAACAACCCTGCGAGGCAGCTGCTTGTTTCCATTTTACAAATAAGGACAGCGAGGCACAAGTTGATCAGGCAATTTGTCCAAGTCATATGGCTAAGAAGTGATGGAGACTCCACTCACTGGAAGGTGGGGCGTTGCAGGGAAAAGAGGACGACGAGTCTGGATACAAGGAGAAGACCTGAACCAGTCCAGAGGAGAAATGCTGGGGCCTAAATTAAGGCAGCCTCCTCCTTAGGAGGAAGGGGTGCAGATGTAGGACACGAAGGTGACAATGTGGGCGGCACGACTAAAGTGTGCCTGCCAGAGTGGTGCGGGCCGTTGGCATCTCTGCGGGACGAGAGGGCAGTCTGGGGAGGCGGGGTGGGGGCGGCCATGTGTTCCCTTCTGGGCGTGATGAGTATTAGGTGTCTGGTACAGGTGGAGATACCCAGCAGGCTGAAGGGACAATCCGAAGGGGAGCGGTCAGAACTGGAGATGTAAGCCTGGGGATGATTAGCAGGAGCGACAGCTGTTGTTTACCTGATGCTTACTGTGTGTGAGGCATTGCTGCAAATGGTCCTTAGCTCCTTAAATACGCACTACCAGCCCGCGAGGCAGGTACCGGAATCCCATTTTGCAGAGCAGTGAAAGGACTTTTGGCACACTTTCTTCTTTGTTGGGGGGGTATGTCCTGCGCCCGAAAAGGGGAGAGAGGGAGCTTAAAAAGGAGGACTTCAACACTAAAAAGACCTCTCTTATCCAGAAAGCAGCCAAACCCATGGAAGGACTGTTTGCTGGGGCCTCCCTGGTAGATAAGTGTCAACAGAGTACTAGCCCTGCTTTCAGATTCATCTGGAGAAAAAAATAATAATTATCTTATTCTTGACGATTCTTCGACTAAAAAGCGGGAAGGGAAGAAGCCTCATCTTCAGTAAACTCTTAAGGATGCCCATAGGTACTTGGCCCTCAAAAGAGTTGGGAGGTCGTAGTAGAAGGTAGTCCTTTTCTTTGCCGCCTAGGGCTTCGGAACCTAGATAAGCCGCTGCGGTGGAGACTTAAGCCGAGGAGCTGCTGGCATCCTACTGGAGAAAAAGTCATCAGTGTAAGATAAATATGAGATGTAACAAGTTATAACGTGTTAATGGTAGAATCTAGGTCGTGGGTATAGAGGAATCTGCTGCAAAAAAATTCAACTTTGCTGAATATTCGAAATTTCTTCATAATAAAAGGCTGGGGAGAAAATTCCTCGTTGTCGCTGTTTGCCGTGGGCGGTCTGGGCTGTCCAGGGTCTCGCTGGAGTTGATTTCCTGTCATGTGCTCTTTCCTGGGAGTGCCGTTAAGACTATCCCACACTTAACACTATCATCCTCCAAGCCAGGTAGATATAACTTTGAGGAAAACCGCAGTCATGATCGGGTTATGACCGAGATGCAGGGGGGCGAGCCCTCGGAAAACTCCGGTCCCCAGCTGAGCACCAGCTCGCCCGCAGCTCCCGCCCCGGGCCTCCCCGCCCCGCGCCCCCCACTTCCGGTAGCGACCCCAGCCACGGAATTCCGCGGCTCCCAGACCGGGCAGC